CTGTACTTTTTCTTCTTCTTTTTTTTAAAGTAAAAAAGCTACAGGTGAAGTGAAGTGAAAGTCCCTCAGTCGTGTCTGACTCTTTGTGACACCATGGACTATACACTCCACGGAATTCTCGAGGCCAGAATACTGGAGTGGACAGGATTTCCCTTCTCCAGGGGATCTTCCCAACCTAGGGATCCAACCCAGGTCTCCCGCATTACAGGTGGATTCTTTACCAGCTGAGCCACAATATAGCTTCAGGCACAGCTTAGCTTCCTCTCCCTTCTCCCAGGTCTCCAGTTGTTCCCCCACAAAATTATAATTGTCCCAGCTGCTTTCTGATGACATCAGCCTCCACGCCTCTCCCAGGTGAATGAATGGCAGCCACCTGGCATGCCTGGGTCCCGCCTGGGCACCCAGCAGGAGCATCTGCATATTTCCTAGGCTCTTCTGTTAAAATGCCACACCAATAATTAAGGATTTCTAATTCTCTAGTAATTGAGTACCATTTGGGACTGATTAAATAGATACTATCTAAATAATTATCTATTTATGGCATTGCTTTCCTTTGTGTGGGCTCTGAATAGCTTGTCAAAAGCACACGTAGAATGTTCTCCCACCTGGCTCTTGTGATGTCTGATACATTCTCTCTCCCCTCTCCCTTCGTCTATCCTTGCTCTGCTCTTGTTCTTCTTTCCTTGATCCTTCTTTTGCCATGCTTTACCACAGTGCCATACCACCTGATCATTTTGGTAATTCGGTGACACAGCAACCCCCACCACGTGCTCTATGGAATTCCAAACCAAATAAGTGATAGAGCTGCTTTTTGTTTTAAATGGCAGGAATGACTGGGTGATTATCTGACCCTCTTTGTTTCATGTCCAGAGTCAGGCACTTTACTAAGTCAATTTAAGTTGCTATATCTGATTTAATTAAACCATCACAACATGGGACTTCCTTGGTGGTCCAGTGGTTAAGACTTGACTTTCAAATGTAGGGGGTGGATGTTCAATCCCTGGTCGGGGAAGTAGGGTCCCACATGCCTAGCGGCCCGAAAAGCCAAAACAAAAACAAGGATCATTTTAACAAATGCAATAAAGACTTTTAAAAAAAAGTTCCCACTAAAAAACAAAAAAATAAACAAAAAACCATCGAAAAACATCACAACCAGAAAAGTAGATGTAACTACTATGTATACTTCACCAGTTAACCAATGGAAGCAGAGAACGGTTAAGTAGCTTGCCCAGGTATGATTCACATGTATCATACATTAACATGTATGGTAATGTATTGGAGAAGAAAATGATAACCCACTCCAGTATTCTTGCCTGGGAAATCCCATGGACAGAGGAGCCTGGTGGACTACAGAGTCAGACATGACTTAGAGACTAAATCACCGTGATAAGGTATGTATGGAAAAAATGAGCCCTCTTTTCATTCCGTGTCACTCCTGGAGGGATGTGAGCCACAGAGACCCCTCCCTACCCTCAAGCCCAGAGGTTTTCTTCTAATTTAAGACTATCAGTTGCAGTAAAACTTCCCTGTCTCCAAAGGCCCCAAGGTGCCTCTCACCTCTAGTAATAGCCTCCAGCTCCCTGAAGGCAGGGACCGCACCCTATTCACCTCCATCCACTTCAGCTCTCAGGCCTGCCTGCAACACAAAATAGGTCCTCAGTGCTCACTTCACAGATGCACTGAAGGATTCCTAAGGGTCTTTAGTCTTTAGAGTTGCTTTCACCAATTTTGATGGACTTCCCTGGTGGCTCAGTGGTAAAAAAAAAAAAAAAAAAAAATACACCTGCCAATATAGGAGATGCGGGTTCCAACCCTGAGTTGGGAAGATCCCCTGGAAGGAGAAAATTGCAACCCACTCCAGGATTCTTGCCTGAGAAATTCCATGGACAGAGGAGCCTAGCAGGCTATCATTTGTAGGGTCGCAAAGAGTTGGACATGACCTACTGACTAAACAACAACAACTCACTGATTTTGACACCAGCAGGGAGCATACATCCTGTATCACCTCTCTTCCTGTCTTGTCCAACAAGATGGCACATATGCCTTTTCTCAGACAGTATGACACCTAAAAGTGCTGGGGATACAGCAGATACTCAAAAATTTCTTGCCAAATTAGACTGAGTTACTAATAGATGGCAACTTGAGGGCAGATGCTTAAAGAAAAAAAAGGGTGCTTGTCTGGTTTCTGAGCTGACTGCCATAAAGGACACTCAGCCCACCACCCACCTGTCAGACTCTCCTGTCAGTGCAGATCAGTCAGTACAGGTGAGTCATAGTTTCTGCAAAGTACACATAGTTAATTAAACGGCTGACAGGCCCACTTATCTCACATTTTAGAGACTCCAAGAATTCCTAGGCTGTGGTGAGTTGATTTGGGCTCACCAAATACCCATAAATTTCCAATTATCAAAATCATCCCCGGAGCAGGGATGAAAATGTACCAAATATCTTTTGTTTGAGACCAGATCTAGCTTGGAGCTGTAGCCTTTGTCCCTGTAAACATAAGACAGGTTATGTGCACATGCCTGGATCTCAGGAGACCAGATTCTCCAGAGAGATTTCCTTCAATCTCTCTCTGCCTCTTGGGAGGGTTACTTCATCTGTTGACGCTTTTTTTCCTTCTCCATCTGTAAACTGAGTTTTGTTCCCCACCCCCACCCCCGAGGTCTGAGGACGGTGGGAAAGTGAAAGTGAAAGTGTCAGTCACTTAGTCCTGTCTGAGTCTTCATGACCCCATGGACTATAGCCTGCCAGGCTCCACTGTCCGTGGGATTCTCCAGGCAAGAATACTGGAGTGGGTAGCCACTCTCTTCTCCAAGATCTTCCCAACCCAGGGATCAAATCCAGGTCTTATGCATTGCAGCCACCTGGGAAGCCCAGGACCATCAGTGGAGGTGGTGCTTAAATGGGTCATGAGAATACTGATATAGTGATGGGCCGGAAATTTGATTACATAGAAATCAGAATAATGTTAGGAGAGAAAGCCTGGGAGGATTCAGCTCTGGGGTAGGGAGGATAAACAAGAAATGAGCTGAACGGGGACTTTCCTGGTGGTCCAGTGGCTAAGGCTCTGCACTCGCAATGCAGGAGGCCTGGGTTCCATCCCTGGTCGGGGAACTAGATCCCACATTTCTCAGCTAAGAGTTCACATGACACAACTATTTTAGAAGACCCCACATACCACAACTCAGACCTGGTGCAGCCTAGTAAATAAATACAAATATTTTCAAAAAGAGAAATGAGTGGAGGAAATGGAAAAAGACTAGAAAGGATTCAAGGTAACAAGGTAGAGGGCAGGTACTGGAAGATGGGGCACGTGATGTAGGGAAAATTTCCTGAGAATGAACAATAGCATCAATAGCAGCTCTAAACTGTGGTCATCAAACCTGGGCACCCAATAGAACTACCTGGTGAGCTTATTAAAAATGCAGCTGCCCCTAGCCTACCTCTGAAAATTCAATTCTAGCAGATCTGGAATTGGCTGATGAAACTTCTAGAATATATGCTTCAGGTATTGTCAAGTCATGGCCTGAATTTTTTTGTCATGTGTTAAAGCAGAAGTGTTGAGAAGGCATCCATGGGAACGGGGTGGGTAGCTTCCTGGAATTCTGGGAATGATGGAGCCTCCTTGTCTAGACGTGAAACTGGGTTTATGCTTTAGGACAGAAAAGCTGGATCCTGTTACAGAGCATCTGTAATTGGTTAGTTTGTATACGGTGTGTACTCCCGGATTTTTCATGGTCTGGTTGATGTCCTTGCGTTTGAGTTGAGGACTTGCGGTGGCATTGAGGAGAGCTACAGAGTTCCAAGGAGGTGCTTCCTCATGTCTTCGAACATAGCATCTAAAATTACTTTCCTCTTTTGTATTCAGCCGCTAAGTCACGTCCAACTCTTTGAGACCCCGTGGATTGTAGCACACTGGGTTTCCCTGTCCTTCGCCATCTCCTAGAGTTTGCTCAAACTCATGTCCGTTAAGTCGGTGATGCCCTCAAACTATCTCATCCTCTGTCATGCCCTTCTCCTCCTGCCCTCAATCTTTCCCAGCATCAGGATCTTTCCCAATGAGTTGGCCCTTCACATCAGGTGGCCAAGTATTGATTGGAGCTTCAGCATCAGTCCTTCCAGTGAATATTCAGGTTTGATTTCCTGTAGGATTGACTGGTTTGATCTCCTTGCTGTCCAAGGGACATTCAAGAGTCTTCTCCAGCATCACAGTTAGAAAGCATCAATTCTTTGGCACTCAGCCTTCTTTATGGTCCAACTCTCATATCTGTACATGACCACTGAAAAAAACATAACTTTGACGACAGGGACCTTTGCTGACAAAGTGATGTCTCTGTCTCTGCTTTTTGATATGCTGTCTAGGTTTGTCATAGCTTTTCTTCCAAAGAGCGTCCTCTAAGAGGCAGCAAATAGAGACAGAGTACAGACTCTGGAGCCAGAATGCTTAGACTGGTGTCTCACTTAGGGTTGTCAATTTAGCTAATAAAAATACAGGACACCCAGTAAAAATTGAATGGATTTTATCTGGCAGCCCTAATTCGAGCCCCAGCAAATATTAGCCACGTGACAGTGGGCACTGCTGAACCTTTCTTGTACCTCAACTTGCTCCTCTATAAAATGGGGTAATAGTGGTACCCACCTCATGGCATTGCTATGAGGGTTCAAACATGTTCAGTGCTTAGAACAATGTTTGACATAGGCTAGGTGCTACATAAACATTAGCTGTTACTCTTATATGATGAAACCCCTTCAATGTTTTCATCCCAACACCAGTTGCAATAATATCATTCTTACTTTTTTTTTTTGGAAACTAAACACATTTTAATAGAAAACAAAATACAAAATAACTCTTTTCAGAAAACAGAAATATTTAATCCTTTTCCCACAAATTAGAAGTCGCTTCATCCTCAGAGCATAGTTTTCGATGCATGTGTTCGTACTTATGATTTGTTTCACAGACTGTTCAATAAACTGCTATCGCAAAGCAGGTGGGAGGGATGATCTCAGGAGGAAAAGATGCTGGAAAAGCCACACCTCGGAATCATTTGGAAACTCAACATTTTTTAATTCTTTCTTTTGACTTTTCACTTCTAATCATTTTCATTTCTTTACCACAATCTGACCTTTTGGGGGAGAGAATTGTTAATAGAAGTGCAGCCACAAAAAGAATCTTTCTTTCACACCACTGCTGCAAGAGCCCAAGACTTTCTCAGTCAAATCCGCCCACCCACTTCCAGAAACGTGTCAGCTGGAGTGATCCAGCTGTCACTCAGGAGATTTCCCTTTCTCCCAACACACTGCGCGACCAAGTTCTCTCAATTCCCTGAACCTCAAAACTCCACAGCCAGTGCCAGGAGTAAGACCTGAAAGATGAGAGCAGAGAAGCCCCCTCTGCCAGTGCTAGGTCTCCTCTTCTCAGTAATAATTATAATAACAATAATAAACAGTCCTGGTTCTCTGTAATCACAGAAAAGGAAAAACATTTGCCAGGATGACCCTGCCCCCTTGCCTAATTCTCACCCCCGCATTCCTCCCTGGAGAGAGTCCCTTCCACCCGGTGACCCTGCGGCACTGCTCCTGGGGAGGGTGCCTGGCAAACATCCTCAGGTCAAGTGCAGCCTCAGCGAGGCAAGGGCACCTTGGTGCCAGAGATAGGGAGGGGCCACACGAGGACACAGTGGGGTCTCCGTGATTCCTATCTCACGTGTGCTCCCTGTCACCACCCTTCCTGCCCCGTGCTTCCACACCTGGGGGCTGAGTGGAGAGTGGTGGGCTCGGGACACCGGCAGGGCAAGGGGGGACACGGGGAGTCTTTCACAGTCAGTCAGTGATTCTGTCTGTCCTAAGACTTGCCGTCTGGAGCCCTTCGTATGCCCCAGTCTGTCATATCAAAGATCCAAATCAATGTTCCTGACTTTCTTGTGTGATTCCGGTCACCAGCAGGAGGTTGCAGGCCATAAACTGCACGCTCAGAACATTGCTCATCTGGCCAGTGTAGACGCCCACGAGCTCGCTGGATGAGCCGTCTGCGGGGGTGCTGCAGTGCGCGCTTCTAATGTCCCAGACGCGCACAGAGTTGTCCATGGATGCGGACGCGATCAGGCTGCTGTCCGGGCTGAAGGTCAGGCTGGTGATGTTGTCCGTGTGGCCCCGCAGCTCTTTGTAGAGGGTCCCGGACGCCAGGTCCCAAAGCTTCAGCCGCTGGTCCTCGCCCGCGGATGCCAGGTACTTACCATTGGGGGAAAAGGCCAGGGAGAGCACAGGGCCGCGGTGGCCCGTGAAGAGCCTCATTGAGTTTCCCTGCTGGGTGCTCCACAGCCGCACCGTCTTATCGGTCGAGCCCGTGGCTAAGTAGTTTGAATTGGGGTGGAACTTGACGCAGTCCACGTCTGCCAGGTGCCCGGCGTAGATTCGCAGTGGGTACGTCCGATCAAATGACCACAGCCGGGCCGTGCGGTCGTGGGACCCGCTGGCGAAGTACAGGCTGTGCGGGCTGATGTCCAGGTCCCATACGGGGTATGCATGGCCCTGGTACCGCACGGTGTTGGTGAAGCTGCCCAGGTCCCAGTACCTGATGGACATGTCTTCGGAGCAGGAGAGCAGCCCCGAGATGTCCGCGAGGAACCTGGTGCTGTACACTGGCCCGCAGTGTCCCCGCAGGACCTTCATCTCCGTGCCTGCATTGTTGTCCTCGTCATCCTCCTCCTCGAGGATATCACAAGCCAAGTGGATGCGGGACACGTCTACTTGATGGGGTTCTGACTTTAACTTCTTGGAGCGCAGACTCCACAGTTTTATGCAGGAGTTGTCGAAGCCTGCCGCGAGCAGCTTGCTGTCCGGGGAGACCTCTGCAGTGTTCAGCAGCTGCTCTGTGTTGTAGAAGGCGTAGAAGCAGATGGTGGTGAGCGAGGGGGGGCCGTCCTTGACTCGCTTGATGCTCTCCTGCAGGAGCTCCAGCGCGGCCTCATTCTGCAGGATGGGCGCCGGCACGTCGGCGGGCTCCAGGCCACCGCCCTCGCCGCGGGAAGAGCCCCCGCTGGCGTAGAGCTGGTAGTCCGTCCTCTTGGCGGGCTGCACGTCCAGGTGGATGTGCCAGGCGAGGACCCTGCACAGCGCGGTGTTGTTGTCACTCTGGAGGTAGCGGAGAAGGTAGTTGTAGCTGTCTTCCTGCAGACGAACCACGTACTTGTTGTCCAGGAAGGCTCGCAGCCGGAAGTTAGACAGGATGTCCTGGATGGTCTGTGTGGTCTGGAGCTGCTCGATGACATCCTTCTGGCTGGCGTTCTGCAGAAACATTCCATGGAAGCGGCTGTAAAAGCTTTCCACTGTGCTCTTCGGACTGTTCTGGACCAGGTTGAGATGGAGGTAGACAAAGAGAGGGTAGAGGAGAGGCATCACTTCGTGGCTGTGCTGGGAGTCAGAATCGGTGAGAAAATTCCGCAGCCGTCCAAACTGTACTTCATACTGCTGGGGCTCTGCCTGGCAAGGGGCTGCGGACACTATGTTGGCACAACCAGATTCTGATTGGACTGCGAGGCTGGCAGCCATCTCCTCGGTGCTCTGTGACAGCCGCAGGCCTTGCTTCAGTGGGCCATCTGCATCCCCGTACTGCCGGCGTTTGAGGTAGCAGGACACGGCCATCTGGATCTGCTCGGTGCGGACCCGTTTCATGACCCATAGGGTAGGGAACATTCCTCAGATGAGAAAGTTGAGGCTCACAGAAGTCAGACAGGTGCCGTGGGGTCCACAGTGCCAGGAGGGGCGCTTGGGTCACCTGGCTGCTGGGTCTGAGCTCTTCCTCTCTATGTCTTGCTGTTCCAAGGGTTCTTGAACATCCCAGGCGGCTCCCGCTTCCCCCGCCGCCGCTGCCGCCGGGGTCGCCCCGTGTCCGCCTCCGTCGCCTTCGCGGCAGGCTCGCTCTCCGCAGCCGGCTCAGCCGGACCCCCGAGCCCCGAGCCCTGCCGCCCCCGCGGCGGCTCTGGGCGGCCGCCCCATGACTGACTAACGCGGAGCCGCCGCGGGCTGGCCATTCTTACTTTTTAAAAAATATTTGTAACAGTATAGTTGATTTACAATATTGTGTTAATTTCTGCTATATAGCAAAGTGATTCAATTATAAACATATATGCACACATATACATTCTTTTTTGAGCTTCTCAGGTGGTACTAGTGGTAAAGAACCGGCCTGGCAATGCAGGACACATAATGAGACGTGGGTTCGATCCCTGGGTTGGGAAGATGCCCTGGAGGAGGGCATGGCAACCCACTTCAATATTCTTGCCTGGAGAATCCCATGGACAGAGGAGCCTGGCCTGATATAGGGTCACAAATAGTTGGACACAACTGAAGCACTTTAGCATGCACGCATGCATATTCTTTTCCATTATGGTTTATTACAGGATATTGAAAATAGTTCCCTGCGCTATATAGTAGGACCCTGTGATTTACACATTCTCTCCATAACAGTTTGCATCTGCTAATTCCAAACTCCCATTCCATCCTTCCTCCATCCTGTAATCTCTTGGCAACCATCAGTCTGCTCTCTAAGTCTGTGAGTCTGTTTCTGTTTTGTAGATAAGTTCATTTGTGTTATATTTTCAATTCCACATATAAGTGATATCATATGGTATTTGTCTTCCTTTTTCTGACTTACTTTACTTATTATGATAATCTCTAGGTCCATCCATGTTGCTCAAATGGCATTATTTCATTCTTATGCTTGAATAGTATTCCATTGCATATATATATATATATATAATATATATATAGTGTATATATATATATATATATACATATCAGTTCAGGTCAGTTCAGTTCAGTTGCTCAGTCGTGTCCGACTTTTTGTGACCCTATGAATTGCAGCACGCCAGGCCTCCCTGTCCATCACCAACTCCCAGAGTTTACTCAAACTCATGCCCATCGAGTCAGTGATGCCATCTAGCCATCACATCTTCTGTCGTCCCCTTCTCCTCCTGCCCCCAATCCCTCCCAGCATCAGGGTCTTTTCCAATGAGTCAACTCTTTGCATGAGGTGGCTAAAGTACTGGAGTTTCAACTTCAGCATCAGTCCTTCCAATGAATACCCAGGACTGATCTCCTTTAGGATGGACTGGTTGGATCTCCTTGAAGTCCAAGGGACTCTCAAGAGTCTTCTCCAACACCACCATACAAAAGCATCAAGTTTTCGGTGCTCAGCTTTCTTCACAGACCAACTCTCACATCCATACATAACCACTGGAAAAACCATAGCCTTGACTAGATGGACCTTTGTTGGCAAAGTAATGTCTCTTCTTTTTAATATGCTATCTAGGTTGGTCATAACGTTCCTTCCAAGGAGTAAGCATCTTCTAATTTCATGGCTGCAATCACCATCTGCAGGATTTTGGAGCCCCCAAAAATAAAGTCTGACACTACTTCCACTGTTTCCCCATCTATTTGCCATGAAGTGATGGGAACTGATGCCATGATCTTAGTTTTCTGAATGTTGAACTTTAAGCCAACTTTTTCACTCTCCTCTTTCACTTTCATCAAGAGGCTTTTTAGTTCCTCTTCACTTTCTGCCGTAAGGGTGGTGTCATCTGCATCTCTGAGGTTATTGATATTTCTCCCGGCAATCTTGATTCCAGCCTGTGCTTCTTCCAGCCCAGTGTTTCTCATGATGTACTCTGCATAGAAGTTAAATAAGCAGGGTGACAATATACAGCCTTGACATACTCCCTTTCCTATTTGGAACCAGTCTGTGGTTCCATGCCCAGTTCTAACTGTTGCTTCCTGACCTGCATACAGGTTTCTCAAGAGGCAGGTCAGGTGGTCTGGTATGCCCATCTCTTTCAGAATTTTCCACAGTTTATTGTGATCCACACAGTCAAAGGCTTTGGCATAGTCAATAAAGCAGAAATAGATGTTTTTCTGGAACTCTCTTGCTTTTTCGATGATCCAGAGGATGTTGGCAATTTGATCTCTGGTTCCTCTGCCTTTTCTAAAACCAGCTTGAACATCTGGAAGTTCATAGTTCATGTATTGCTGGAGCCTGGCTTGGAGAATTTTGAGCATTACTTTACTAGTGTGTGAGATGAGTGCAATTGTGCAGTAGTTTGAGCATTCTTTAGGATTGCCTTTCTTTGGGATTGGAATGAAACCTGACCTTTTTATATATATATACACATATATCTTTATCCATTCATCTACTGATGGACATTTAGGTTGTTTTCATATCTTAACTGTTGTCGAATAGTGCTGTTCGTATCATTCTTACCTTTACGCTTAAATAAATAGATCCAATGTTCTCTTCTTTTATGGGCCAATAGGAATCAAAGAGAAGGAACAT